ACTCTTTCCATCTGCCAAGATACCAAATTATATTTTGGGGAGATAATTCTTAGAATATTTGAACTAGTTTTACTCCCCACCCCCAAGCAGCACTAACCTAAATTAAATCAGCATTTGAGTTTTCTTATTATAAAGCATTTTCTCTGAGTAATGGTAACCTTAGGCTTATCTAGGCACACAGATACTGTTTTGAAGCCAAAAAGCTTTCAGGAAAATGATGTGATCAAATTGATGGTTTTCTGAGTAACATGGTTTGACTTGCTGTTTGTGGAACACACCATGAAACTTCCTGCTTTCCTCACTTTGCAGATCTTGAAAGCCTAGAAAACGTACAAGATGCATCCAAACAAAAGGTACCAGCTCCAGTGGGAAGTTCCCAGGATCTTACAACACCTGAACCTCAGACCCGAGAAGCTTCAGGTAGGACTTCCGCTTTTCTGTAGCAAGCCATAAAAATGGCAGGGCTGGGAGGCACTTTAAGGTCTGCTTTATCCCACTGAACTGCAGTAGGATTGAGTAAACCCTAATGTTCCTGAATATTGTTTGCTGATGATCCTATCTGTACTTCTGTTCTGGATCAGTAATGAGAGTAAAAGTTAAAAATTTTCCTTAGTAGAACTGTGTTCACAATAAGACTTTGCGATGATGTTTTTGTCTCTGCAGAAGGTAAGGAAGGGGAGGAAAAAGGCAGCTCTCGTGTTTAGAAATCTGCGTCGCGTGGCGTTTCATTGTCTGTCTTATTTCAAGCTTCCCTGCAGCAGCCAAAAACAGTGCTGGAAGCATTGCAGCAAAGGCTTGAGAAGTACAAGTTGGCAGCAGCACAAGCTAAAGCAAGTGGGGATGATCGGAAAGGCAGGATGCACGAGAGGATAGCCAAGGTAAAATGAAAGTGCAGCGAGCTGCTTGCATCCAGCGAAGCTGTTTGAATTAGTTCTCTTGCTGAAGACTTTTTCAAGGCTGAAATCATTTGTGTATTGTCCTTCTATTTGAGAACAGCTCCAGTAGGGAAGCTGTAAAGCATTCAGAGGAGGGAGAGATAGAGACAGTGCACATATTATAGCAAAATACTGTGTATTCTGCAATATTTATGCTGGTTAAATACAGATGATTGCTGATTTATAGTCAACTTCATTTTATGTCTTAACGAGTGCCTTTTGATTTACAGCAATACCAGGATGCCATAAGAGCCCACAAAGCAGGGAGAAAAGTGAATTTTTCTGAGCTACCTGTTCCTCCTGGTAAGTGTGACTATAAAATGTCCTAATACCAACTTTTGTGTATCTACTGGGCTCTGAAGGAGGTGTGCAGATACTGCCGCCTGCTCATGTGGAACAGCTCCTCCTTTTTCTCACTGAGTACGCTGGCCTTGCTGTTGGATGGTATTGTGAAACTGCTCATTAACATGCTCCCAAATTTTCACACTGGTGAATATTCCGGACTACTGCCTGCCTGTTTGATAGCATCGGAACTGAAAGCTGGCGCTATTTGAAAAGTTTCAACAACGTAACCATGGGCAGGTGCTGAAAATGTTGCCTGTTTGTCCTTTGTACCAGCCCTCCTAGAGGAAATAGTAAACTTGGCATGTATTTGCTTCTTAGTTTGCTGGAAGGAGATTTTTTGAAACTGAAAAAATTTGCCTGATGTCCCCTCAGTCTGTTGATTCCCAGCAGCAGCCTCAGAACTCCATATTTAATGACTCATCTTGCAACACCTGACAAGTCAGCATTGCGGCTCTCATGGCTAGTAAAAGTAGTCTCCAGAGACGAAGCAAACCGTGCGTGTGGTCACACTGAGACAGTGACAGAGGCAGAAACTGAACCTGCTTCTTGAAATACTCTCTGTCCTTTTTACCTTCTTGAGAAGGTATAGTGCTGTGTCTGTAAAAAGTTTGGGCGAGGTATCTATGAATGCTCCACCTCTGGTTTGCATGATACTGTTTCTCCCCTAGGAAGCATCATTCCTTTTATCTTGCGCCTGATGGGTTCTTCCAAAAAGATACGCTTAGCACTGCAAAGGGTGCCTGGATTTTTAAGTTAGGAAAGGGACAGGGACCTTGTGGCTTTTTTGTCGCTGTCAAATGTGGCAATGGCAAGCACTGTAGTAGTGGTAAAGGAGTCAGTGCCAGCTCTGTCAGGTCGTGTACTACTTGGAAGGTTCCCTGCTTTGAAGCTGGCCCTGAGAAGCACTTTAGCATCTCTTGTTCTAGAACGTGATCCATTTCTTGGTAAATAGCAGTGTCTGTAAGAGTGAGGTACTCCATATTTACACCTCTGAAAATACAGGTAACTCCCAGTTCCTTACGCGTTAGCTGCGTGGTTTTCAGCCATCATTTAGAGGCCATATGATCTACAATGAAGACAACCATCAGGCAGTCACTGAAACCATCAATGAGGTTATAATGGACTGGCAGTGCATTTCATTGCATCTGGATGATGACAAGTACCAGCCTTGACCTCCTTGGAGACAGAAATGCTGCTGAGTAGTGGATCAAATGTCACACGAGGGCAGCAGCACAGGATTCTGTGTTCTGCCTGCCTGCGTCCCTCAAGCTTGTTCTGTCCCTGTAGCAGCCATCTCTAGGTTTAGAAGCAGTTTGGTCATTACTTTTTGACACAGACTGACAACAAAAATCCTTGCTACATATTAATGAGATGAATCTTATGAACAGACATTTTATAGTAGTGGCTCTGGGTTTTGTTTGAAGCTGATGCCGAACTGGTAGCGTGAAAGTGAATGTCCTACATGCCTTCCTCCTAGCCTTAAAAGGATAATAAAATGATGAAAAGGATTGTTCTTCATATACTTCACGTTTAACTACTGTGATTCTGCCTTACTTTGCAGCCTCTGCATTGCAGTAGATTTTCAGCAGAGACTTAGTGTGTTATCCAGATGTTGGTGATGTATTGTTTATTACCCTGTGGGGTAGCACTGATTTTCTGCTGGACTGTGTACCAACTCAGGAGAGGCAGCAGTGGGAGGGGAAAAAAAGAGCCAGCAACTTTGTATACAATCTGCTGTCCTGTTGTGTGAAGGAGAGAGACTTAAGTTCTTTGGTTCTGGGGGCAATCTCCGTTACCAAAGTCTTGAGGTTGTGAGGTTCCTTGGCTGACTGCGGTTGCTCAACTTACTGCATCGTTTTAGCATCATCCCTTTAAGCCTGGATATCTCTGAGAGATCTGATCTTAAGCCCACCGCTCAGACTTCATCTAGCAAAGCTTTGTGGCCTTGGCCTCAGTCTAGTTACGCTGAACTCTCAAATGTATTAGATAATAGGTACTTTGATAGAAATAGCTTTACAGAAAAGAATATGGAAGACAGAACATAGGTCTTATGCAACTCTACTTCTTTATTCCTTTCCTCCTCAGGATTTCCCCCTCTGCCTGGTGTTGCAGCAACGGATGGTGACAGCACAATAGCTGCTGTTCTGGAAAGTGCCAGCAAGCTGGCAAACATGGAGGAGAATGATGAAGAAGAGGAGGTTAGTAGTTCTTAGTAGGATGTGTAAAAGTTAAAATGCTGTCTCTTGTGGTATGCAGAGATGAGGCTATTGGATTTACAGTCAAGCAAGGGCACTGAGATTAAATACATTTCCCTGAAGTCTGAAGAGTACAGTATCTCAGTAGTGATTTCAGTTTGCATTATAATGTAGGGGAGAGAAATTTGATACTACTACAGTCTGTGAGTCCAGAGTCTGGCTTTTTCATAACCATCTTGTATATGGGTTTTATTTTCAAAGCAAATGCTTTAGATCCTGGCCACTCCTTTACATTGTTCTAAAGTACTTAATTCTGTATTTTTGTCCTGCATCCCAATAGCTCCTGTGTACTTTCCCAGGATGCTCAACACTTACTGCTTTTTGTCAGGCAGCACCAGCCTTTAGACTTTGTTTTGATTTCTTTATCTCTCTAGATTTGGTTGCTGATTGTTTGTGCTTTCAACTGGAGTAGCTTTTAATGAAAAGAATTCCTGGATGATGTTTTTTCTGCACGCATCTGCTTTTTTTGGAATCACCGCCTTGTTGAACATTCCTTTTGTCCCTTCTATAGTGGAGGATTGATGCTTTCATAGGTCAACTACCTATTGGCATGGCACGGCTCATAAACCTCCAGAAGTTAAAATTTGCTGTCTGGAATGTTATGCTCCCCTCAGAAGTGATACCAGAAGGTTGATACAGAGATAGCTGTGGTTGTTGGTGCTTGAGATGCTATCCTCAACTCTAGAATAGATTTATGCATTTAATATGAAATTCTTTTTGTTGTGCTAGAATGAACCTCTGACGCAGGCTCCAGCCGCCAAGGACCCTGCTCAGCTGCCTGGAAAGCCGACTCAGGTTGTTAGGCCAATTCCAGTGTCGCCTGCTGTAGCTGAGGAGAGCAGCTCTCCTGAGCGTGTGAAACGAGCTGCATCACCCTCCACCCTGGACAAGGCGGAGTCAATGGATCATCTCCCTTCGGCTGGTAAGGTGAAGGGATCATCATTCCCAGTGATCCATGTGTGAGTTGTGTGCACTAGTGTAGTTTAATACCTTGGTAAAGACAACGCTTCATTGTATTTTAGATATGAGCCTGTGACTGTGTGGCATAGATTTCCTCTGGCAGGAGACTCAATATGTGTGTCTGCTGGAGGGCAGATCCAGACCAGCCATGCAGCTTTATTTCGTAGAGGCAATATGTGTAATTATAAGGGTGATTTGGTTTTTAATTAATTTTGATGTAACAAGTGTATCGATTCATGATGTTTAACTCTGCTCACAGTTGAGCTCTACGTATACTCTCATTAAAGGCTTGCCAGTGTGAATTATTCACTGCTTTAATGAAGCTTCCTACATCACACAGTAGGATGCTTCATCCAAGGATCTCGAACTGGCGTATAGGCAGTAGTTCATCAATCTCTAGTCCTCCTGTTGCTAAGGTCACTAAACAGTTGTCTGTACGAGATTAATTGTACAGACAGGGACAGCATCACCTCACGGTGTGATTTGGGCACACACCAGCAGTGTTCAGGCTCTCACTGATTCTGTTGTCATGCCTTGACTGTAATCCCATCCTTCTTCTGTTCTGCCCCGGGTAGTTCCCTCAGGATAAAGCAGAACTGCCTAGTCGGCTGATGGAAGCTCTTTTGCAGAGTGCAAAGGCATTTCACAGTGCCGCTGTGATTAGCTCATAACTCTTTTCTCTAGAAAATTCCATTACTTGTTTCATAAAGACTACTAAAACATAGTAGCTTTCCATTTTGGCTTTGAAAGTCTGTGAACCCTCAGTATTTTGTTTTTTGCAATTTTAACTGACTTATTCATCTCTTCAGTGAATTGCCCTAGACTTGTACTGTGAAGGAGTTGGTAATACCTGGTCTCTGGTGTTAAAAGTATTCTGGCTTGTGGGTATTTGAAGTATTTTAAAATAAGACCAATAGGTGCAACAAAGAACCTGGACAGTTTCATACTGACATCATTTTCACAACAAAACGTCAGTACTTCACTATTATGAAGCTATATTTTACTAGCCAAAGTGCATTCTGTGATCCAAATGTTGCCTCTTTCCCCCCAGAATTACGAAGTGCAGTTTACAGCTGCCCGTAGCTGATAAATCAACTGTAAAAAAACTTGTCATTTTCTTGTCGGAGAGCACAAGGCATAGGGAGGTGTGGGAGCGGGGTAGAGTCGTTGCTCTTAAGGCCTATAGCAGGAAGGTCAAGGAACCGAGATCAGTTGGATTAATGACTTTGCTCAGTCCATTCTCCCCAGATTTTCTTTGAAAATACCTGTGCTCTGTGTCTCAGCCTCACAGAGCACGCTGTGGGTTTTGTCTCAGTAGAATCTGGGCTAGCTACCTTGCCTAATTAGTTTGGTTTTGGCTGATTGGGCAAATTGCTCACAGCAGCAGGACAGGGGGCTTTTTTGCAAGAAGTAGAGTGCAGTGGTGAATACAGTATGAGTATCTTCGGAAATGGCTGTAATGAGCTCGTACTGTACCATTTCCTAAGTGAAGTCTAAGAAGAGGCAGGATGCACTGACCTGGTACAGTGTAAGGCAGTCTTTTTCTGACTTGGGTTGTTGTCCTTACTTGTTTGGGAAGGAAAGAGGAGACCCAAGAATTAGTAAGAAACTAAGATGGCAAGGAATTACAAATAAGCAGAGTTGATATGTCTGAATGTGCCTGAACATTGGTTCATGTGGGGTTTTTTCTGACAGATCAGGGGAGAGGGAAGAAATGAGTACAGAAGATGTTCATAATATTCATTGCCTTTTAGAAGTTAACATGTCAAGCTGGAAGTTTTGAATTCAGCTTCTGCTTTGGACCAATCGGCTGTACTGGAGCCTGTCTCCTGCCTGCAAATAAGGGGCTGTAATTACTGTTGTAACGTTTGTGAAGTACTATGAAGCTTTTTGATAAAGGATGCCATGATAGAAGGAGGTTTGGGGTTTTTTTTCTGATACTTGAAATTGGAGCTGGCCAAGAAACAATTAAGTACAGTAAGGAAATGTCCTCGTTTGATATCTGTACTTTTACTGACCTTTTTCTGGCTATAAACTGAACATGATAAACCTGTTTCAGGGGCATGGCAGTGTCAGATGAATGACAGTTTTTATACAACTGTTTTTCAGCTAGGGAACAGCTGGAATTTCTGGAGAACAGGAAGAAGCAATACATGAAGGCAGCCGTCAAAGCAAAGAAGGAAAATAACCTTGAACAGGCTAAGACGTATCTCAGAACAGCAAAGAGTTTTGACCTAAAGATTGAGCAAGCAAAATGTGGCAAACCTGTTGATATTTCCAAGGTTAGTAGGACTTCTGCTTCGTTATGTTCCTGGACATCTAAATGCTTACTTCAGACAGTGAATGATTTAATAAATATTTCTTGACACAAGTTAAGTTAGTTTGCTCAAGTGACAAATCTAGATATGAGCCCTGAAGTTGCCCTATATTTTTGGTTTAGTTTTTGTTTAGTTTTGTTTCTTCTGTTGCTCCTCAAATGTGCCAAATTTGGAGAAAAGTTAGTCTCCATGAACCACTTGCTCCTTGGCTTACAATGGCACGCCTCAGCCATGCAGCTCGGAAGCGTTCCCTGGGCTTAGGGTGTGAGTACGTCTCTTAGCTGTGTCCTGACTCCATTTTGGGATGAGGATCAAGTGCATGGGATAGAGTGATGCCCTGATTTCTCCTTGGCATTTGGGTAGATGGGGAAACCAAACTGTGCTGTAATAGCTCTCCTGACCCGAATAATCAGGGAACTAGACCTGTAAGACATTTTGCAGGGTTTTATGACTTAAGCATTTGTCAGGCAGTGGTGTTAAGTGGTGGTTGGGTTGGAATAGTCTTGAGAAGAAAAACGACCCATCTCCCTTTGCTGACCTTTCCATACATTCTGACTGTTTTTTGTCTACTTCGTTGCTTCCTGTAAGGACTCTGAAATGCAGTGTTCTTGTGTTGCAGCTCCCATCACCCCCTACAGATGATGAGGGTGATTTTATCTTCATACACCATGAAGATGTCAGACTGTCTCAGAAAGCAGATGAAGTATATGCACAGCTCATAAAATTGCTGAAGGACCAACATGAGGTGACAGTTTTATCCTTTTTAGAAATGTTTTGGATTTGTTTTTTTAACTTATTTTTTATTAATTTTATGAATGATATAGAATAATTACATATTAATTTATTAATATATTATATTTGATTTTATTAATATTATAATTCCATCATTGTTTCTGTGGGGTCTGTTGTTTTCCTTTTAAAATACTTTTGATTTTGTGTGTCCTAAACTGGACAATTTTCAGAGTTGAATTCTCTACTAGTTGAAGTCAGAGGGTGTGCTTGGAGGCCTGGGACTATCAAGTTGTCACTATTAAGTATGGGCACTCAGGTTTGAAAATAGTACCCAAATGATCAAGACTAGCCCTTAGGTGAACCTCATATCTAGGAATTAAGTGGCTAAAAAGTAATAGGGCAGAACAGCTCAAACAGATGCTGTGCTCAGCTTTGGGCTTAAAGATCTGGGGGGGTGGGTGTTTTTGGGTGACTTGGGAAAACTCTTGACTCTTCTTAAATTAGGTCGTCATCAACCTCAAAACTCTGAGCCAGTCGTGAATCTGTGTAAAGATCACCGAGTGCATCTGTGTGTGTTTGGTTTTGTTTCTGTTGACAGAGGTGTTTGCAGTATTCCAAGCAATTCATGCATCTGGGAAACGTAACGGAAACGACTCGGTAAGACCCCCTGCCCACTGCTAATCATCCCACAATGTCATCATTTCAGGCCTGAGTCTGCCTGACCCCCCTAAAGATGATGGGGGTTTGGGTTGATAAGTTTCTCATTATATGAAAGGGTCAGTAACTGTCAGGGCTGCATCTCTGAGTTGCTCTCAGACCTCTGGAATGAGCCTTGCTCTGTGGCCTGGATCTGGCAGAATGCTGTTTGTTGTTCCAGTGTGTGTGTAGCTTTTTGATTGTTTGTTTGCCTTTTCCCTAGGTTTGAGAAACTGGCACAAGGTTGTAAGAAGGACATGGACATCCTGCAGCTTGCACGAGCGCAAGGAATGGATCCTCCAAGCCATCACTTTGAGGAAAGAACCTTTAAAATGATAAGGTGTGGAAATACAAAGGGATTTCTCAGGCAGGCTGGAATGAATTTTCTGGTTTCTAGCTCTTGTTCAGGGAATTGTGGGCTTCAGCAAACTCGGGTGGCATCTAGGGTTAGGCTCGGCATGCCTGAAAGGACACTCTCAACAACTTAAATACAAAGAAGTTGTTCTCTAAATTCTCTTCTGGGTTCTTCTGCTTTCAAAATATCTCCAGCTTCATCTCTTCTGTTTTGCTGCTTCAGACACTCTTCCTTCCTCTGTAGTTCTCCCTCAGTCCTGTTGCCTTTGAACTTTGTTCGTGGCATTTTTCACTGTACCTCAGAGATGTTTTTATCTCTGTTTG